TCAAAAACATATGTTCACATGATGCAGCATATTAGAGTTTAGAGAGGGCAACAGCATCTCAACATGCTTTGGTGACTGCTGAATCCAGCCCTTGGCATACCATAGGTGCTCAAGAAATTTTATGGGCTAGTTGAAAGGATCTGGGCAAAGCCTCTGTTAGAAATTGTTTGTCCCCAAGACCAGTTAGAAATCTGTGTCTTTATTTATTTATTTTTATTCATTCAAGAAATATCTGACTCCCCACTATGTGCCAGCAACTGATAATGGAAAGGTGAATGAGTCGTAGTCTCTGACCCTGAGAACATTAAGGAATAATCAACACAGAGGGTCCCTGGAACCAATGTTACTAAATAAATAACTGACCCTGGGGAAGAGTACCACACTTGAAATGTGTCTTATGCTGGACTGTGTTTAGTTCCATGGTCCCCCTTGGGGAGGAACCATGTGTAGGAATGGGAGTTGGGCCATTTGCCAGTTATTACCTATGTGATCCTGACTAAGTTATCTAAACTCATAAGCCTCAGTTCCTCCTCTGCAAAAGGGGAGTCATAATCACACCTCCCTGACAGCGCTGACAGTGAGGATTTGAGAAGGAAATGAAATAACTCATGTTAATAATCATTTTGCTCAGTTTCTGGCACTCAATAAGAATATGTACGTTTAGTAGATATTTACGGGCTGAATTCTTTGTGAAAAGGGATTACATTTTAGTTTCTTTGTTGAACACTTCGAGGAATAGGCCAATCAACCACACAAGAAGTAGGATCTATAATGACTCTTCATAATGATGTGACCCAAAGAGTGTTTCTTGGAGCACCAAGGCCAGCAAGCTCTTCCTCCATAATAAAATCGAGAAACTCTGCTGGCAATGCAATTGCCTTCTCTTGAAGATTCATAATGTATATCGGGAGATTAAGGATGTTAGAAGAGTTGCAATGAAGAAACCTGTTTAACTTTATTTAATTCAGTGTTTTCCAATCTCACTGGACCAATAATATATCCTGGAAAAAACCAAACTCCTGAAGTTCAAACTTGGAAGGAGATTCTGGGCAGAGATACAGTTGATGCCAGAGCTCCTGCCTCTCCTGAGGGTTTCTCCTTCCCTTTGGAGTTCTCACTTTACAGTCCGCTGTTGCCATCTATTGACTTCCACCGTTGTTCTGATGCCTCATTAAAACTCACACTGATGGGAGTTGCATGCCCCCTACCCCCATAGCCAGCTGCTGGCAGGCACTGTCCCCTTGAGATCCTGCCTTCTTTCCATCCCTAAAGGGCTGGTTGACCTATGATCAACCTAATCCCAATCCCCAGTGCCAGCAACCCCAAAGGAACCTGTCCCTTGATGACCTCTCACACTGGTCTGGGGCTCTTAAAGAGCCACCACTGGCTCTTTAAGACATCAAGCCTGGGCCAGTGAAGCTTCTCTTAATTAACTGAGAAGCAGACACTGGGCTGGACCAATTAAATGAGTTCAGGGATGGCTCACTGGAAGGAAATGCAGAGAAAAGGAATCAGATAATCTGACTCACATGGTCAGCCTCTCTAGGTTCTAGCTTATTTACCTGCAGTATGTCAGAGATGATGGATTTATTCAACCTCTGACTATAATTCTAAAGAAATTCCATGGCTCAGATCTCCCTGTCAGATAAATCAGTTCTACTGGATTATTTTTTAATGTAACAAGATAAAAATGCTATGTAGAACTTTTTTTTTTTTAGATGGAATATTGCTCTGTCTCTCAAGCTGGAGTGCAGTGGTGCGATCTTGACTCACTGCAATCTTCGCCTCCCAGTTTCCAGCAGTTCTCCCACCTCAGCCTCCCAAGTACCTGGGATTACAGGTGCCTGCCACTACACCTACCTATTTTTTTTAATTTTTAGTAGAGACAGGGTTTCACCATGTTGGCCAGGCTGGTCTCGAACTCCTGGATTCAAGCGATCCTCCCACCTCAGCCTCCAAAGTGCTGGAATTACAGGCATAAGCCACTGCACCCAGCCCCTATTCCTTCTTAAGGCCTGGTTTGCTCACAATTTTCTGTAGTTTTGGGGACACCGTCATAACTGCCCATTGATTTCCCTTATTTCCTTAAATAGCTGGAGTTTCTGTTGCTTACAACCAAAGAACCTGGACTGACACAAGGGTTCACTCCATGCCAGATACACTAGGCCTCACTCTCTCTGAGAGAAATCATTATTAGGTTTCCATTTTGCAGATAAAGAGACTGATGCTGACAGTCTTACACACATGGCCAATCAATGCCAGAGCAAGCATTTAAATCAAAATCAGAATTCAGAGTGCAGATTGTCCCTTCATATGACCAATCCAAAGCCCTGCCATTCAGGTATAAGCTTCTGCTTCTAGATCTCACATTGGTACAATTTACAGTTTATACAATGTTTTTACACAGAATAACACAGGCAATGCTCACGGCCACCCGAAAGTTAGATATCTTCATGACACAGGAAAATAGATTTACTGCAAGTCTGGTCAGCCCACTTTTTTCCCTGCTTAAAACCTTTCTGTGACTCAACACAGCCTGCAAGATCAGTTCAAAGACTCAGTGTGGTTTTCTAGGCCCTGTGCGGCCCAGGACTAGGGCCTCAGGCCCGCCATTCCCTTTCCTGCACTTGGAGCTCCAGCCATATGGAATGACTCACACTTTCCCCAAGCCCACCAGGCCATTCTGGGGCCTGGAGCCTTAACTCACCGGGATGTCACCTTCCTGTCCTCATCCCAAGTTATGGTTGGTAAGGACCACTGGAGTGGCCTTCATCTCATGCCTGTGACAGTGACCCCTACTTCCATTCCCATCTTCCTCTCAAGCCTTTCCTGTGCCTCCAGCCCCCGAGTAGAAGCAATACCCCCATTGTACCCTAGACAAGAATCTAGGGTAGCTCTAGCATGATTAGATATTGTAGTGAGCCCTGGTGTTGACTCCTCAATATCTTTCTACCCCAAAGGTCATTCTAATCTGTTCCTGTAATCTCAACCTTCTTGACTGGGACTAGTGACTGATGGCCCTGGGATTTACTGCGTTTCTGATGTATTGGTGCTCTTCTCTGCTAACCTGAGTAGCCTTGGGAACTGGGTCATGTTGTCAAGACTTGAGCCAGCTCTGGGCCTGTGTTCACCTGGAACCACTTTCCTAATGGAGCCGGGGACCTGATGGAGCCACATGCGAGGCCAGCAGGCCACAACTCTTGCTCTTGGCTGTCTGAGGGAGAAGGACGCTCCTGTGGTCCTCCAGTTCCCCCACCTCCCAGCTGCTGGGGCTTCCCCTTTTGGCCCCTGCCTAGCCATGGTTCGATTCTATTCCCTTCTCTACCACGCCACTATCCCCCCACCATCAGAATCTCTCTGTCCTGGGTCTCTTTATGTCACAGGAAGTCACTTGTTAGCTAATTAATGCTTAGCCATGGCCATGAGCTCACAGGCTCACCCCAAAACTGGGTACCCCCTCCGGGCTGTTTGCACATTCACAGGGAATTCCCACAAGCACTAGCCTTTCTCCAAGAACACTTGCCAGGCACTGTGCTAGATGAGTTGACATATGTTATCTCATTTAATTCTCACAGCGATTCTGTAATTATTCTCTATTCTCATGTTGCAGATGAGGATGCTGGAGCTCAGAGAGGTTAAGTAACTGCTCAAGGTCACACAGATAATAATGAGAGCTGGGATTCAAAGCGCCTGTGAGGTGTAGGGAGGGAGGAGTCGTGGTGACTGGGATGTGGCCTTGCCTTCTCTGTCTTCTGAAGAGCCAGTTCTGTTTGTTTAGCTCCTCCTACAAAAGGGCAACAGGACTTTCTGGGATTTTCAGGCATAACCCTGAAGTTCAGGTAGAAGTTGCTTTCCCCAAATCTATTGATGCCTGGGGCTTGTAGCCTTACTGAAAGGGAACAGTGGAGGCATGACTAGCCCGGGCCAAAAGGGGACACCTGAGAAGCTGAGCATCAAACCCCAATTATGGCAATGCCTCTGCGGGGTGTGTGACAGAGCAAAATACCACAGTATTGTGGGGAGCACTGAAGAGGGCCTAAGCCCAACGCAGGATAAGTAAAGAGGATTCTGGCTCCTGAGCACTGTAAGCAGCAGGGTTTTGCAAAGACCGAAGAGGCATCTCTGGCCCCTTCATGAGGTGGGTCTGCGGTGCCAGGAGACCAAGCCCACTAGGTGGCAGCAGAGAGCCAGTCAGTGGCTGGCGAGGTCTAACCGGTACAAATCCTAACCCTGGGGCTGGCACGGGGGCCGGAGCAGGGGCCGGATCTGAGCTGCCTCACAGTAAAAGTGTGGGCTGGCTCTCGTGTGGACTCTGAAGCCTGCAACCAGCTCAAAACAGAGACTATGCCTAGTTAGAGGGACCTTCTGGGGGGCTTCCAGGAAACAGGATATGGTAGGATTTCCAAGTTGAGGTGCCCAGGGAACCCTCTGAAGAAGCGATAGCCAGCTTATCCTGCTCACATAACCCTGAAAGGACTGGGCGCCGCAGAAGCTGCAGACCTCAAAGACCCAAAGAGATGCCTGTGAAAGATCTGGTTGGGACTCCCTCGTTGAATTCAAAAAGCAAACAAGGGCCGAGTGCGGTGGCTCAAGCCTGTAATCCCAGCACTTTGGGAGGCCGAGGTGAGTGGACCACTTGAGGTCAGGAGCTCAAGACCATCCTGGCCAACATAGCAAAATCCTGTCTCTACTAAAAATATAAAAATTAGCCGGGCATGGCGGTGCGCACCTGTGGTCCCAGCTACTCAGGAGGCTGAGGCAGGAGAATTACTTGAGCCCAGGAAGCAGAGGTTGCAGTGAGCCAAGATCAAACCATAGCACTCTCGTCAGGACAACAGAATGAGACTGCCTCCCCACGACCATCACCACCAAAAAAAAAAAAAAACCCAAACAAGCTGGAGAGCATGTTCCCAGACTGGCCATTGTGTGCCCAACGGGCTGAGTCTGGTCCTATAGCATCCTCCGGGGGAGGGGATGATGCCAGCTGCCTCTCATCTCTACCCTGGCACACTCAATCCCTGAGTCAGGTCACATCACCAGAGGACTTGAGTGAGACCTGGGAACTTCACCTCGCGCTGAGATCCAGGTCAGCACTCCCGCCTCTGTGGTCTTGCCACCACCCATCCATGGGCCAGGCTATTGTAGAGCCCAGCTCAGTGCAGTGGAGCTTTTCAGCTCAGAACTACACCCCTCTTTGTAGACTAGTACTCACCACTAGGACTTTCTGGGATATTCAGGCTTAACCCTAAAGTTCAGGTTGAAGTTGCTCTCCCCAAATCTACTGATACCAGGGGCTTATATCCTTCCCAATTTTTGTACAAAATTTCCTGAGCTAGCCTCCGTTCTGGGAACCCAGTGTAAGTCATGCTATATTGTTCTGTCTCAAGGTCTCCAACTGGTTGTTCCCTCTTTCTGAAATGCTCTCTCTCCATCTTTTCATGGCTGAATTCTTCTTACCATTTAGGTCTCAGTTTAAATTGTCCCTCCCTGTCTTGTCTAACACAGATCAACCTTTCTTTGTCTTCTTTCTCCCTTACCATTTTCAGTGATGACTATCCAGTATCCAGTGGGTTGGTATTGCCCTCACACAGGACAGCCTGTGTCCATAGCTCACAGTGGAAACCAGAAAGTCACAGGAGCTGAAAGGAATGGGTCCTCAGATGTTATGGGGAAGGGGACCTTAGTGGTCATTTAATCTAAGTCCTCAGCTGCTAGGACTGTCATATTCCTTAATTCTGGTGGGTTTTTTTTCTTTGTTTTGTTCATTCACAATGGCTATGGAGAGCTGGTGGGCAAAGGTGACTGTTGTGTCCCACTGAAATGCTTATGGGCTATCCAAGGTAGATGATGATGTTAAGTATAATCAGCTCTGGGGTCAGTTATTAGGTGAGTGCAAAAGTAACTGTGGTTTTTGAACTGTGGGACTTTGCTGTCTGATATTAGAAAACACTTTTTTTTTTTTTTGACACAGAGTCTCCCTCTGTCACCCAGGCTGGAGTGCAGTGGCATGATCTTGGCTCACTGCAACCTCCACCTCCTAGTTCAAGCAATTTTGTGTCTCCGCCTCCCTAGTAGCTGGGATTACATGAACCTGCCACCACACCTGGCTAATTTTTGTATTTTTGGTAGAGATGGGATTTCGCCTAGAATACATTCTTAAATAAATGTGGTTATGTTATACATCATTTTGATGGGCATTTCTCACTTTATGTTTTTTTGCTAATGACTTTTTACTTGCTATTTATTTTGTGTTTATTTTAGACTATGGAAATGATGTTAGACAAAAAGCAAATTCGAGCAATTTTCCTATTCAAATTCAAAATGGGTTGTAAAGCAGCAGAGACAACTTACAATATCAACAGTGCACTTTGCCCAGGAACTGCTAATGAATGTACAGTGCAGTTGTGGTTCAAGAAGTTTTGCAAAGGAGACAAGAGCCTTGAAGATGAGGAGTGTAGTGACCGGCCATTGAGAGCAATCGTCAAAGCTGAGACTCTTTTAACTATGAGCAGTTGTGGAAGAACTCAAGGATGATCATTCTACAGTTGTTCGGCATTTGAAGCAAATTGGAAAGGTGAAAAAGTTCACTTAGTGAGTGCTTTACAAGCTAAGCGAAAATTTTAAAAATAGTCTTTGAAGTGTTGTCTTCTCTTATTCTACACAACAACAACAAACCATTTCTCAATCGATTTGTGATGTGCAGTGAAAAGTAGGTTTTATATGACAACTGGCTGGACCAAAAAGAAGCTCCAAAGCACTTCCCACAGCCAAACTTGCACCAAAAAAAGGTCACGGTCACTGTTTGGTGGTCTGCTGCCGGTCTGATCCACTACAGCTTTCTGGATCCTGGTGACACCATTACATCTAAGAAGTATGCTCAGCAAATCAATGCGTTGCACCGAAAAGTGCAACACCCGCAGCCAGCATTGGTCAACAGAAAAAGCCCAATTCTCCATGACAACACCCGACCGCATGTCACACAACCAACGCTTCAGAAGTTGAACGAATTCGGCTACAAACTTTTGCCTCATCCACCATATTCACCTGACCTCTTATCAACCAACTACGACTTCTTCAAGCATCTCAACAACTTTTTGCAGGGAAAACACTTCCACAAAGAGATGCAGAAAATGAATACAAAATTTCATGAATTTGTATGCTACAGGAGTAGGCAAACTTATTTCTCATTGGTAAAAAAAAGTCTTGATTTTAATTGTTTCTATTTTGATTAATAAAGATGTGTTTGAGCCTAGTTAATGATTTAAAAATTCAACGTCTGAAACTGCAATTACTTTTGCACCAACCTAATCGATGTCTAAGTAGGTCATATTCCACCTGCAAAGAGAAAATTTCATCTATCTCTTGCAAATGCATGGAAACCCACCGTCTCCAGTGGACAATTAACTCCAAGGGCATCACAGAGAACTCATGGAGCTCAGCTGAGGAGGTTTCAGGGATTTTCTATTTCCTTGAGAGTCTGGGACAAGATGATCTCCAGACCTGCGCCTAAAGACTCTTCAGCCCTTTGAGATGGAGATGAGGGAGGGAATAGGGAACCCAGTTTAGTTTGGATTTCAGATCCTTTTGTATTTCATAAGTGTGATGATTGGGGTCTCATGTTCATGTGTGAGATGTGCCTCCCTCAAACCTTGTTACAATAACATTGGCGCATTACCCATCTGACATGAGAAAAACAAATGTGGATTTCAGATAAACAAAACAGAACTTTTTTAGTGTATGTCCCATAGAATATGTGGATATATTTAACTAAAAATATTCTATGGAACATAATTGTATTAAAAAACTGTTCATTGTTTAATCTGAAGTTCAAATTTAACTGGGCATTCCATATTTTATGTGATGTGGCAATCTTATGGAGGAGGGACCAACACTGAAAATAAATGACTTCGCTTGGATAGAGCATTGGGACTGGGGAAAACAGAGGCCACAGTCAGCTGTGACTTTTTGAAGGAAGGAATGAAATTGGTTTCTTTCATGCCAATTAAGCAATTACAGATGACCCCGTCAGAAATCTAAACCCGTGACTATCATAAGACTCAAGACCAGAAAAAAAAAATAAGTAAAAAAGATTAAGAGCCAGAGAAGCAGTCTTTTCACACGGCTGGCCGGCGGACGGAGGACTCTCTCATTAAGGAAGGTAAGAGTGTTGCCTTCTCACCATAATCATAGTCCTCTTCTCCTGGAATAGGATTTGGGAAATTCTGGCAAAGTCCTCTGCTTATCCTCATTGCCCTGCTGATGTGTGACGTCAACAGAATTTCTCCTCAATGTTTGTCAGTCTCCATCTTCAGAGGGTTCACAAAGTCTCCTCCTGGGTCCTCTCTCAGTCCTCCAAGACTGCCAAGAAGAAAAGCAATTATTCAGGATGGCACTTGCTGGGGAGAAGCCACCTCCCTGAGGTAGATGTATTCTCCCGTCACTTAAAGAATCACTTCTCCTGGTCTGAGTGGTAAGAGGCGCATTTGCTGTTGCTGCACCATTTGCCAAGATCTGAGTTTGAGGTATAGGATGTATGAAAACAATTGAATGCAGAATTGAGTGTCCATTCTGTCATTTTGAACACAGAGTTCACTCCTATATTATTCACTTGAGAGGATCGGTGAGTTTGACTTTAATTTTGTTTTTACAACTGGGAAGGGCAAATTACACATAAAATGTCCCAGTGGAAAGCGGTCATGTGGTGAAATTCCCACTCTTCTATCCCACCTCTCCCTGTTGTTTTAAACTGGAGCTCATTATTATAATTCTATGGGGATCAGACCTTCAAAATTCATGAGAACAGTAAGAGAGCAGACAAATACACAATAACAAGAAGAGAAGCTTCCATTATTGGTTTTTAATGAACGTACTTGACTTATAGCCACTGCAGTTTATGGACATCTTTTGTTGTTATTCATTTATATATGTTATAGTTTAAAAAAATCCTAGCCAAGGGACTTGAACCAAAGAGAAGCAGAAATTGATTTAGGTGGCAGGGGAAACACACTGTCAGATAAAGTCAGGTTCCTCAGCCTGTTTTGGGTGGAGTGCCTAGGACGAGCTGAAGCTCTTGTGTGGGGTGGTTTCCTTTGCTGAAAAACTGGGCTGGAAGATGCTGTGCTCAGTGCTCAACCTTGTGCACCCTCACGAGGCACAGGCAATGGGCGCTCTGGGAAGCATACGTTGTGTATTATAGCCTCTGTCCAGGGATTGAAATCTAATAACAACTTTGGAGAAAAATAACTCCTCTTAACTTCTTAGCCACAGCCCTGGGCCAGAGAAGGTAGAGAATCAGTAAAAATGCTTTTCGTTTGTTTCTCTAGAAGTTTATGGTGCAGAGTCATATCAAAGGCAAATGAGGAGCAGTTTTTCACCAAATAATAACTCAACTTGAAAGTCTTTTTGCTTATGTCTGTAGTTTCTTCTTTGAGCTTAATTTTTAGTTAGTAGGAGGGGTTAGAAAGCTGAGCTGTTGCTAAAGCCCTTGATATCAATGAAAGAAGCAGGTGCAAATCCCGTCACAGGACAAAGTGTCCTGGCTATGGATATTGGTCACCTAGTAAGGATGCTGTTGTGGGTCTTTATGAGATGATGAATAGGGTGGCTTTGGATGCCTTAATGATGCCCATGTGCTCCCTCTGTTAGGTGTCCTGTGCCCTGACCCTACAAGATGCCAAGAGAAGACACTCACTTCATCTCTGATTACCCCAGGAAGGGGCACGGCCACTCTTACATCACAGCTGAAGAGTAAGTTCGAAACCAGACCCAGCAGGGCTTCCAGTCTGCCGTTTGCTGACACAGCCTGCTGACTTCCACCAGTACATGCCTGCTCATGAATCTCCCTAGTGTTGACAGCCCCAGACAGGGACATCCCTGGCAACAAGGGGAAGAGACTCTGTGCTTCTACAAGGGGCTCAGTCAAACTTCTCTAAGGCCAAACAGACAGGAAGACGGGAATGGTATAAGGTTGGATCTTGCCATTTGGGGCTGCACTTTTGACTCTTGGGCCTTATCTATAGGTTCCCAAATGGAAAAATATCCGTTCAGGATCACAATGCCTCTTTCCTCAATCCTTGTTCTGTCTACTCCACTCAAGCTCCTGAAGGTTGTTTGCAGACAGAATAAAAGTGAGTTGCCAAGGAGCCAGTCAGGATGATGGGCAGGTGTGTGTGACTCAGCCTATGCCAGACTCGAGAGGAAGACAGAGGTCACAGCCTTTGCAGCATAACTTTATCCTAAGGAAAGGTGTTGGCTATTATGAGTGAATTAAAAATAAGTATTTATATGATTAAGCATTTCTAAATGATAAGCATTGTATACTGGCCTGAGACACTGTTTTTATCTTTGAAAAAACTCAAAACCTAGTGGGAGAGTTAGGCATGAGAATAATTTCAGCAAATGTAAGTGCCGTAATGGGAACCCAGAAGCTGCAGGGACACATGCTGTACATGCTGGGAGTGGGAAAGGGTGTGGGGAGAGGGGGAGCAGCAGAGGCCCCACCCTCTGCATGGGACTCCAGCAGGACACCATCTTCTTTGTGGTCTGTGCAGAACTCCCTGTGAACCTGCTATTTCTTTGGAAAGAGCTGCTGAACAATCCTTGTTAACAGTCAACCTCAGGGGTCAGCAAGACATAGGGCCCGACAAAGGCACTGAGGAAGAACTCAGGCAGAGGGCATTTCTTCCGAAGGCCCCAGTATAGGATCCCCTAACATCCCTGGCTAATTGGAGGTGAAGCCGGCTGTATCTTCTAAGAAAATGTCCCGAGAGCAAAAATATGCTCTTTGAGGGAGGGAAGCCCATTGCCCGTGGTATTAATTAGGGTATTGTTTCAGCTTCTGTATGATCACTCAACAAATTCTTTAAAATATACTTTTATGTCTTATGTAATAATTCAAGAGTAAGGAGTTCAAGGCCTGTTCGTTTCTTCTTGCTGGTTACTCCCCTGGGGTGTCGTTTTTGTCCCCATGGCTGAAGATGTTGTACCATCACCTCCACATCTTGCCAACAGAAAGGGGGAGGTGAAGGAGAGGCTAGGACCATTCCTTTCAAGGGACACATGTCACCTCTGCTTACTGCCTCACCCTCTGCCCCCTGCCCCATGGCACTCACCCTGGTGGATATCATTCTTGATGTTTTGTAAATGGGGAAAGGTTTGGAGAAATTAGGAAATGTGTGGCCAGACGTGGTGACGCTGGGATTTAAATCCGGGTCTGTTTGCCTCCAGAGTCCATGCTCTTAAGTGTTATGCTGCAGGCTGGCGGCAAATATTTGCACAGTCCCATCTGACGAGAGGCTAGGGCAGAGGTCAATATCTCTTGGTGTGAAGCTGGAGGCTGCAGCTTGTCAGCTCGGTAGGCTGAAAACATAGTTGTTCTTTACCATGCAGGGCCATCACGCCCAGCTGGGGAACCTCATAGCCAGGTATACCCACAACCTGAACAAGGTAACTTTCTGGGCCTAGTCAGGAAGAAACGAAACTTGCAGCCTGAACCACGTGCATAAGCAAGGGCAGGTGGATTATCTGACATTTTCCTTGAGAACACAAGGGAGCCTCTGGGTTCCAGCATAAAAGAAAAATACCCTCTCAACTTGTATGTGTGGGAGCTGTCCTTCTATAAGGAGAAAGTAATTCCTTTTGACATTTTGCTATCTGTAGAAGGGTCAAGATGGCCAAAACATCCAGCACAGTAAAACACTTAACTTCAGTCTGTGAGTGAAGGAAGCATTAAATACATGGAACATCATGATCTTGTGCAGGTACTGAAGCAGATCGGTCCAGAAAATAAGTAGCTACACATGGCTACCCATGGCAAAACTCATTCCTCTCAAGAAAAGTCTCTGCCCCTGCTGCTGTTTGTTTAAACAGGTGGGATGGAGGTAGGGGAATGAGGCCATCTTTTTTAAAAAGATTTTTTGCATAGAATCCAGATTGTGCACAATTGAGCCATCTTCATTAAAGCAATACATCCCTAAGATTTGAGAATATTTATCCTTCTCACAATTGTGCCAGCAGGTAGAATGAGGAAGAATGATGCAAAATAAGTTCACATATCCAGCCAAAAAGGGCTACATACCTGCTTTGAGTATTATGCATCTCTTTGAAACTTCAGGGGAGAGCGGTTCTCACAGTTGAGTAGACACAAGTCATCCATGAAACTTGTTAAAATGCGGATTCCTAGGTGCTGTCACCTAAGAGGCTGATTGGGTAGGCCAGGGGTGGAGTCCTATGATCTGCACCTTAATGTGCATCTCAGGTGATTCTACTGCACGTGGTATTTGGAAGACACTCTGAGAAGGCCTGCCAAGTGGGTTCTTCCAATGTGTCTGGCATACCCTGGAGCTTTTCATTCTCAGTCACTAGGGCATGTTGTGAGTACCATGTGACCGTGCATAAAGTGCTGGAACAGAGCTCTGTCTGTGTCAAGATGTTCAAGCGGATGCCACAGGGTAAAATGAGAGTACAGGCATATTGGGAGTTGACTCATCTGCCTTCAGTCATGAGAACACACTGAACATGACTTGTGACAGCCTCAGTTCAGGATAGAGTGACTCTGCAGGAAAAACACTGGCCTGGGAGACCTGGATCTGCCCCAAATTCTGGTGCTCACTTGCTTGGTCTCCAGTGCCAGTTGCCATGAAGGTTGGTTCCGCCACTTCCTGGTTATGCGACCCTGGGCATTTGACCAGCATAAGGTCAACTGTAAAATGAACATCATTCCTGTTTCAGAGGACTGTTGTTAGGATAAAATAAAAGCACAATGTGGGAGTGCCTAGTCCAGTGGCTGGCACAAATTGGTGCTCAATGAATGGTAGTCACTATGGTGATGGTAACATTGATAGGTCTCAGCTTCCTGATCTATAAAGTAGGTGGACTGATCTACATAAGCGGGTCAGAGTTCCCATTGAGTGCTGTCATCCCATGGCTCTCTCTATCCTGGTTGGAGATGGACAAGATAAGCTTGATGTCTCCTTAGCCTTGAGATGGAAGTTGTCCAGTAGACGATACTGGGCAAAAGTCTCTCCAGGAGAAGGCTTAGTTAAACCTTGCTTCTCCTCTAGCTGTTGAGTCTCTTATAAGTCATTCAGCTCTGCAGAAACTTTCTTAGCAAGTTGACAACCACAGATAACAGACTCAGTTCTGTCGATTTTGATCATGCTGTAATGCGGACAGATGTTAGCTAACTGATGATGCTTGCCAGGAGTGCACAGCTCCAGGCCCTGTTTCTAGGGTCTTTGTGTTAACTATAATGCTTCCCAGAGGTCACTGAACACAGGGCCCCAAAGGCTGGTGTAGATCCCCAGATTGGCACCCTGCTGCTTAGACGAGATCCTTCTCAATAAGTAATGCTACAGCCTTGCTGTAGGCTCAGCCCAGACTTCTCCCTAGGGCTGCAAGGGGCAAAGGGGGAAGTTTGGGGAAGGGAAGGCACAAACACAATCGAGATGGATTCAGGTTCAAATCCAAGCTCTGTTTCGTGCTAGCTCTGTATGATCACCAGTGAGTCATGTACCCTCTGCCTTTATTTCCTCTTCTGCGAAATAGGGAATGATAAACGGTGTCTACCCTCCAGCGTTGATGTGAGAATTGAATGAGCTAATGAATGTTTAGCGCAGCACCTGGCTTTTAGTAGATGAATCAGTGTTAATTTCTATTCTCGTTGTGGGCTGAATTGGAGAAAATGTTTTAAAACAGCCTGATGAGAAGAAAAGATAATTTAGCCCCAATAAATACATTGTCCACATAAAGACCAGTTACTACGGCACTACTGTTACTTGAAACTTGGGTGCCTGGGTCATGCCAATTAGCAGCGCTCCCATGGGCACACACTTAAGAGGCTCCTAGATAAAGACCTGCCCTAGATCCAGGTGCTGGAGGTCTGGCAGGGTGCCCAGTGTGGGAGGTGGGAGACTACTTGGACACTGGGAGATGCTGCTCTGGGCAGTCAAAGCCCATATGAAGAGAGATTTGATTTATATTTCATTATAATGTGAAACAATGTTTCAGTGACAAAGTGAATTTGTCTATCTCTTGGGCCAGGGCCGCTGGGATTGGCATCCTGACAGTGATCCTGGGAATCATACTGCTTGTTGGCTGTTGGTATTGTAGAAGACGAAATGGATACAGAGCCTTGATGGTTGGTATAGTTCCCACTGCCCAAATCCTTCCAGGTACAGGGCCCTCTTTCCAGTTCTTTCCTTTGAATTTCTGGAGAGTCAAATAACAGCCTCATGATCACCTCTAGCTCTGATTCTGGCTTCCAATTACTCTTTTGCTACATTGCACATCTGCAGCTCTTCCTTTGCCTCTGCTTGGGCATGAACCCCAACCAGGCACGTGCCCTGTGTCTTTGTGACTATAAAAGAATACCAGAGACTATAATTTATAAATAAATGAAATTCATTTGGTTTGCAGTTCTGGAGGCTGGGAACTCCAAGATCTAGGGGCCACACCTGGTGAGACCTTCTTGCTGTGTCATATTATAGTGGAAGGCATCACATGGGCAAAAGAGTGAGTGAGCAAGAGGGAGCTGAACTCACTTTTTTTTTTCCTTGAAACAAGAAGTCCTGGGATGGAGTACAGTGGTGATCACGAGTCACTGCAGCCTTGACATCCTGGGCTCAAGCCATCCTCCCATCTCAGCCTCCAGAGTAGCTGGGACCACAGGCGTGTGCCACCACACACGGCTTATTTAAAAAAAAAAAAAAAACACCTTTTTTTTTGTAGAGACAAGGTCCCACTATGTTGCCCAGGCTGGTCTCAAACTCCTGGGCTGAAGCTATCCTCCTGCCTTGGCCTCCCAAAGTGTTGGGACTACAAGTGTGAAACACTCCACATATGGCCCAAACTCACTTTTATACACACCTACTCTTGCAATAACAAACACACTCCCGCAATAACAACATTAATCCATTTATGAGGACAGAGCCCTTGTGAACCAATCATCTCTTGAAAGTCGTACCTCTCACTGTTGTTGCATTGGGGATTGTTTCCAATACATGAATTTTGGGGGACATATTCAAATTATAGCACCTATCTCTTTTGGTTCTACTCATAGCAAAGGTGGCTACCTGGATGTAGTGTGTAGCTCAGCATTGACTGCTTATAGGGCACTGGGAAAGGGGTTTGAGGTTCCCTTGCATAGCAAACAGGAGCATATTAGACACCTCAGGTTTTACCACTTCTGGGAATTCTTGCTGGTTCTGTTACTTCACTTTGTGACCTGCTCTTCCTACCTTGCTTCTTCACCTCTTTCCTCACTGGTTACGAAGCATCCCAGGAGATCATCAATGCAATGAAAAAACCATTCTCCCTGCATCAGCGCAAAGAGTCATTGTATGTTTTTTTTTTTAACAGGTTCCATCCTTCATGGCCAATCATTTTAATGGTATTTTTTCTTCTTTAACCAAATAAGCAGGAAACTAACACAATTACACAGTCCAGTCTTCTGGTACCAGGATCTTCCATGAATGGGAAACATCAACTGAGTCTATAAGCTATAAAAAACTACAGGTTTCAGCAATCTTGCTTCAAAGCCAGGTAGCACTTTAGCACCCAAAGGCATTCTCCATAGAGCTCTCTCTCTCTTTCTTGCTATTACAGATCTGAAAGATTTTCAGGTTGAGGCATAATGGAAAAAAATTATCTTTACAAAAGATGTTGGAAAGTCTCATTCCTCGTTCAGCAAGCACTTCATTTAGAGGAAAAGGTCCTGTGAAAGAGAGAAGGGTTGGTATGGGGTGGGAATTGAAGCTTGGCAAGCTGATGAGAAGCAGAAGGTGAGAGATGGAACTTTGGTTTCCTTATGTATGTATATATAAAAAACATAATGTTTAGTTAGTCCTTCAAGAAGTAAAGCTATACAAACTCAATATGTTGGTACTCATTTCCTAACTAGCTTGATCCTACTGAACACAAATACAATAATGTTTCTTTTCTCCTTCAATGCTCTCATCTTAAATTCATTCAATTGAAAAAAAACAGAGTCTTAATGTCATGTGCTCAGACGCTGTGAACATTTTGCTTGGTAAGTTTCAAATTCAAACTGTATGCCTCCATTCCTCTAGGATTAGATCAGTGGTTTGTAGCTTCTGAGATTTTATGAGAGAGAAACATGTTTAAATTTCCTGGTTTAATTTCCATATTTATTTTAAAAATTAATATTAACATCTTGTTTTGAGATTTTTATATCTCTAGAAAAGCCAGTTTGGAGATCAGTAGTCTAAGAAGTTTAGGCCAAATTATGTAAATAGTGCATTAAGTACTGCATTTAATTACATAATTACCTCCCTTTCTGTCTTCAGTGATTATATTTTATTTTAAAGCAGAGGAAGATAAATGACATTAAATATAAGCTTTGGGCACGTGATTTACTCCACCTTTAAAAATCTTCATTAAGCTTGAAATGTCTACTTTTAAACTTACATTAGACCACAGAATAGTAGAAAGGTTGATTGGAATCTAGATATCTTAAAATGTCTCCCTTGGTTAACAATTCCCCTGAGCCCTGAAACACATCTTTTGAAAGGAAAGACTGCTTTTTGTAGCACCCTGTTTCTACAGGAGGAAGTGGAAAATGATTTGTAAGAAACTGAACAGTGGGCCGGGCGCGGTGGCTCAAGCCTGTAATCCCAGCACTTTGGGAGGCTGAGGCGGGTGGATCACGAGGTCAAGAGATCGAGACCATCCTGGGCAATATGGTGAAACCCCGTCTCTACCAAAAAAATACAAAAAATTAGCTGGGCATGGTGGCACGTGCCTGTAATCCCAGCTACTAAGGAAGCTGAGGCAGGAGAATTGCCTGAACCCAGGAGGCGGAGGTTGTGGTGAGCCGAGATCGCGCCATTGCACTCCAGCCTGGGTAACAAGAGCAAAACTCCGTCTAAAAAAAAAAAAAAAAAAAAAAAGAAACTGAACAGTGGTTTTTATATTAACCAGTTTTACATCTTCATTTGGAAGTTTAGGACAAAATACTTTTGATTCTTGGAGAAGAATTTCAAGGCCCTGACTCTCAGCTCAGTTTACACTCATGTGTCAAGGTACTGTGTTTCTCAATGCATGGTCAGGGGTTACCTGCACTGGAATACTTTGGGGTTCTTGCTAAAAGGCAGATTCTGGGATCATCTCTGGTGGTGAGATTCAGAAACCTGTATTTTAAAATGCACACCCACGTTGAAAGTAAATACAGAAAACTGGCAGTGAAACTAGGAGAGTGGATCACACTTTTATCCTATGGTGAGTGAGAGGCTTAAAAAAAAAAAGAAAAAGAAAAAAACTGGTAATTGATAAGGGCAGTTTTATTTTTTTTCTTCCCAATCAATACACCTTTTATATCCTTTTCCTGGCTTATTGCATTAGTTAGGACTTCTAGTATGACATTGAAAAGGAGTGGTGAGACAGGACATCCTTGCTTTGTTCCTGATCTTAGCAGAAAAGCTGCAAGTATGACGTTTGCTGTTGATTTTTTGTATCTAGATACTCTTTAGCAAACTTGAGGAAGTTTCTCTCTATTCCTAGTTTATTAAGCATTTTAAGTTATGAATGTTTGATTTTGTCAACTGCTTTTTCTACCTCTATTGATACAATCTTGTGATTTTTCTTCTTTAGTCTATTGATGTATCAAAATAATTCATTTCTCGTTTTTTTTTTTTTTTTTTTGAAGGTGGGGTTTCATTCTGTTGCCCAGGCTAGAGTGCAGGGGTCTCATTCTGTTGCCCAGGCTAGAGTGCAGTGGCGTGATCTCGGCTTACTGCAACCTTCATCTCCCAGGCTCAGGTGATCCTCCCACCTCACCCTTCCAAGTAGCTGGCACCACAGGCGCAAGCCACCATGCTTGGCTAAAATATTTTTGTACTTTTGGTAGAGATGGGGCTTCACTATGTTGCCCAGGTTGGTCTCGAACTCCTGAGCACAAGCAATCCACCTGCCTCAGCCTCCCAAAGTGCTGGGATTACAAGTGGTGAGCCACCGTACCTGGTCTGATTTCTTACTGTTGAACCAGGTTTGCATACCTGGGATAAATCCCACTTTGTCATGGTGTGTAATTCCTTTTAAACATTGTTAGTTTGATTTGCTAATATTTTGCTGAGATTTTTTGCATCTATATTCATGAGAGATATTGGACTGTAGTTGTCTTTTTTGCAATGTCTTTGGTATTAGGGTAATGCTGGCCTCAAAGAATGAGTTACAAAGTATTCTCTTTGCTTCTATCTTGTGAAAGAGGTTGTAGAGAATTGGTAAAATTTCTTTCTTAAATATTTGGTAGAACTCACCAGTGAACTCATCTGGATCTGGTGCTTTCTGTTTTAGAAAGTTATTATTGATTCAATTTTTATAATAGATATAATTATATTCAGAAGGTCTATTTTTTTCTCGTGTAGATTTTGATAGATTGTGTCTTTCAAGGAATTGTTGCATTTATCTAGGTTTTCAAATATGTGAACACGGTTGTTCAAAGTATTCCTTGCTTATCCTTTTAATGTCCATTATTATTTCTGATAATAGTAGTTTGTGCCTTCTTTCTTTTTTTTTTTCTTAGCAGAATCAGCTTTGCTTTCATTGATTTATTCAATTAATTTTTTTCTTTTTTTTTTTTTTTCTAGAGACAGGGTCTCATTCTGTCACCCAGACTGGAGTACAGTGGCACAATCATAGCTCACTGTAACCTTGAACTCCTGGGCTCAAGCAATCCTCCTGTCTCAGTCTCCTGAGTAGCTAGGGCTATAGCATGTGTCACTACATTTGACAATTTTCATTTTTTTTAAAATTTGTAGAGACAGGGTCTCACTATGTTGCTCTGGTTGGTGTCAAACTCCTGGCTTCAATCAGTCCTCCTGCCTTGCCTTCTTCAAGTGCTAGTATTATAGGCATGAGCCATTTAATGGATTTCTTGTTTTCCATTTCATTGATTTCTGCTCTAATTTTTATTTTTCTGTTTATTTCGGATTTAATCTGCTGTTCTCTATTTTGCTAAGGTAAAAGCTTAGATGATTGATTTTAGATCTTTCTTCTTCTCTGATGTATACATTCAATGTTATAAATTTCCCTCTAAATACTGCTTGCACTGCTAAGCAGTATCTCATAAATTCTGATATATTTTAATTTCATTTAATTCAACATATATTTAAATGTATCCTGAGATTTCTCCTTTGACCCATGTGTTACATAGAAGTGTGTTGTTTAATCTCCAAGTGTTTGGGTATTTTTCAGTTATCTTTCTGTACTGATTTCTAGTTTAATTATATTATAGTCTGAGTACAAATATTGTATAATTTCTATTCTTTTAAATTTGTTAAGATGTGTTTGGTGGCCCAGAATGTGGTTTATCCTGGTGAATGTTCCATGTGAGCTTGAGAAGAAAGTGTATTCTGTTGTCACTGGATGAAGTAGCCTGTAGATGTCTATGATATCTAGTTAATTAAGATTTTGGGCTGACATTGTGGCTCATGCCTATAATCCCAGCACTTTGGGAGGCAGGTGGATCACCTGAGGTCAGGAGTTCGAGACCAGCCTGACCAATATGTAGAAAACCTGTCTCTACTAAAAATACAAAATTAGCTGGGCACATAATCCCAGCTATTCGGGAGGTTGAGGAAGGAAAATCATTTGAATCTGGGAGGCAGAGGTGGCCGTGAGCCGAGATCACGCCACTGCACTTCAGCCTGGGCAACAAGAGTGAAACTCCATCTCAAAACAAACAAACAAAAACACAAAGATTTTGTTGAATTCCACTTTGTCACAGGCCTTTTATACATTGTTAGAATTCATTTGCTAGTATTTTGTTGAGTTTTTTTGCATCTATATTCATGAGATATAATTAATTGTAGTTTTATTTTCTTGTAATATCTTTTGTTTTGATATTAGAGTAATGCTGGCCTCATCGAATGAGTTAGTCCTTGCTGATTTTTTACCTGCTGGCTTTGTCTATTTCTGATAGAGAGACGTTGAAGCCTCCAACTATAACTCTAACTTCATAGTGGATGTAGCTATTTCTCCTTGCAGTTCTATCAGTTTTATCTCATGTATTTTGATGCTGTGTTCTTAGGTACAAGCATGTTTTGTTATGCCCTTTTGAACAATGAACACCTTTATCATTATGTAATATCCCTCTATCTCTGATAACTTTCCATGAAATTTTCTGCTTCTAAAACTAATATAGGAAGTCCTACTTCCTTTTCATTAGTGTTAGCATGGTATATCTTTTCTCTATTCTCCCTTCCTTCCTTCCTTCCTTCCTTCCTCCCTCACTCCCTCCCTCCATTCCTTCTTTCTTTCTTTCTTTCTTTTTTTTTTTGTTTTTGAGACAGAGTCTCACTCTGTCACCCAGACTGGAGTGCAGTGGTATGATCTTGGCTCACTACAACCTCTGCCTGCTGGGCTCAAGTGAGTCTCCTGCCTCAGTCTCCCAAGTATCTGGGATTATAGGCATGTGCCACCATGCCTGGTTAATTTTTGTATTTTTAGTAGAGATGGGGTTTCACCATGTTAGATAGGCTGATCTTGAACTTCTGAGCTCAGGTGATCTGCCACCCTTGGCCTCTGAAAGTGCTGGGATTACAGGCGTAAGCCACTGTGCCTGGCCTCTATGCACTTACTTTTAATGTACATGTGTCTTTATAATTTAAAGAGGCTTCCCTGTAGGGAACACATAGTTGGGTCTTGTTTGTTGATCCAGTCTGAAAATCTCTTTTAATTGGTGCATTTAGACCATTGATATTCAAAGTTGTTATTGATATAGTTGGATTAATATCTACCATGTTATTACTGTTTTCTACTTGTTGCCCTTGTTTTTGTTTCTAATTTTGTCTTCTACTCTTTTTCTGCCTTTTGTGGTTTTAATTGGACATTTTATATGATTCCATTTTCTCTCCTTTCTTGGCATATCACTTACACTTCTTTTTACTTTTTGAGATGGAGTCTCACTCACTCTGTCACTCAGGCTGGAGTGCAGTGGCACGATCTCAGCTCACTGCAACCTCTGCCTGCCAGGTTCAAATGATTCTCCTGCCTCAGCCTCCTGAGTAGCTGAGATTAAAGGTGCAAACCACCATGCTCAGCTAATTTTTGTATTTTTAGTATTTTAGTATTTTTCATCATGCTGGCCAGGCTGGTCTTGAATTCCTAACCTCAAGTGATCCACCTGCTTGGCCTCCCAAAGTGCTGGGATTACAGGCATGAGCAACCATGCCCAGCCCAGTTATATTTCTTTTTAACTTTTTTTCAGTGGTTTCCCAAGAGTTTGCAGTATACATTTACAACTAATTCAAGCCCACTTTCAAATAACACTATACCACTTCATACGTATTACGAGTATGGTAAAATAACAAAATAATCCTAATTCTTTCCTCCTGTAAACTAAAAACACAATCTTAAATCCTCCAACCAATTGAATAAACCCCCTCTTGGCCAAGGGGACCCCAGGGAAACCTGAAAAACTGGGTCTTGGTCATGACAAGAAGAGAGGTAGAGATGCCTCATTATATTCCCTCCCTGTTAGAGTTTTAAGTATAACTGACCAGCATTAATTTTAAAATAGAGATTATAGGAGTGACAGAATGAATTATTTCTGGCAATATAAAATTTGGAATAAGACTGAAGTCAATGCAAGGAAAGGGTTAAATCATGCCCTTCAAACCATAAAAAAATTTTTGTTTAATTAACCTGGTATAATATGATTTGCTTACCAAACTAACTCTGGTATAGTATCATGTGACAGATCGCAGACTCCGTTAAGCATTCCTTTGTACTGACTTCAAGTCTTAAGACAAAGCTGAACTCTTTCAATCAATTGCCAGCTAAAGAATCCTTAAAACCCACTTGTGACTTTTAAGTCTCTGCTTTGAGATGTCCTGACTTTTCAGGCTGAACCAATGTACACCTTCCGTGTATTGATTTATGATTTTTACCTACAATTCCTGTCTTCCTGAAATGTATAAAACCAAATCATAACCCAACCACCTCAGGCACGCTTTCTCAGGACTCTTGAGAGCGTTCTCTGGGCAATGGTCATTCATATGGGCACAGAGTAAAAAACCTCTTTAAAATATTTTGCAGAGTTTTTTTCTTTCTGTTAGCATTTCTTTCCCTTGTATCATTACTGTTATTCATTTCCCAGTGTATATAAGCATATATGATCAAATACATTGTTGGTATTATTCATTTTTAAACAAACTATTATCTGTTAAATCAACTAGGAATAAGATAAATATGTTGGGTACAGTGGTACATGCCTGTAGTCCCAGCTACTCAGAGGCTGAGGCAGGAGGACTGCTTGAGCCCAGGAGTTTAAGACCAGCCTGGGCAACTTCGCAAGATCACGTCTCTCAAAAAAAAAAAAAAAAAAAAAGAAAGAAAGAAAGAAAGAAAGAAAAGAAAAAGAAAAAGAAAAAGAAAGGTTTTATTTTACCTTCACTTATTCCTTCTTGGATGTTCTTCCTTTATGTAGATACAAAGTTCTGACCTATATTATTTTCTTTTTCTCTAAAGAACTTTAAGTGTTTCTAGAAAGGCAGGTCTATTGGCAAGAAATTCCCTCAATTTTTGTTTGAGAAAGTCTTTATTTCTGCTTCACTACTGATGGATAATTTCACAAGAGTGTTCCTTTTATAGATTCACTCTCATTATCCTTCCCTTCAGAAATATTCTTTGACTAACTACTGGGTGCCAGGCACTGCACTAGTGCTTTACCTCTAGCTAATTCCCACAACAATTCTGAGAGGTAGGTGGTATTATCTTCCTATTACAGATGCAAACTCAGAATTCAGAAAGACAAAGTGATGAGACTGAAGACACATGGCAAGTGAGTTGCAGAACCTATATTAAAACTCATTCTTAAAACTTTGGCTTCCTTCTCTTTTCTTTAATGGATTCACTTACTTCTCACTCATTCACCTTTATCAATTTACATTTCAGGACAAAAGTCTTCATGCTGGCACTCAAAATGCCTTAACAAGAAGATGCCCACAAGAAGGGTATGATCATCAGGACAGCAAACTGTCTTTTCAAGAGAAAAATTGTGAACCTGTGGTAGGTTGAGATCCTTCATCAGGGTATTTTCATGAATGGCTGTTTTTAACTCAAGTGAATACAATTATTTCCATTTAAAAAGCAAGGACAATGTGAATGTACTCATTGTCACTGAACTATATACATCTAAAAATGGTTAAAATGGCAGATTTTATGTGTATTTTATTGGAATAAAAATAAATAATAATAAAAGCAAAAAAACAGGGAAGGACAGAGATTTTCTTAAATTGTGTCATTGCATACCCAGAGTTTCCAGGGCCAATAATGAGAGCCCTACATGTGAGATACAAAGGAAGAACTTAGTCCTGTATTCAATATTCTTTTATGTTTTTACTTGTATTTGCCTTTTTAATGGATGTAGATATAGACACAGGGGAAGAATAAAGTACCTATTATTTATTGTATAGAGCTGTGCTGTCTGATGGCTTAACCATTAGTCACGTGGTGCTACTGTACACTTAAAACATAGGAGTTTCAATTAAGATGTATTATAATACATAGCATATTTCAAAGACATTAATATGTGGAAAATAAGATAAATGGTTCGTTAATGATTTTTATATTGATTCATCTTGAAAATTAATATTCTGATAATATTAGATTAAATAAAATATTTTAAGATTAATTTTACCTGTTTCTTTTTTTAAATGTAGCTACTAGAAATTTTAAAATTACATATGACTGGGCATGGTGGTTCATGCCTGTAAACCCAGCACTTTGGGAGGCCAAGACAGGTGGATTGCCTGAGCTTAGGAGTTTGAGACCTGCCTGGCAAACATGATGAAATCCTGTCTCTACTAAAAATGCAAAAATTAGCTGAGTGTGATGATGCACTCCTGTAATCCCAGCTGCTACTTGGGAGCCTGAGGCAGGAGAATGGCTTGAACCTGGGAGGTGGAGATTGCAGTGAGCTGAGATAGTGCCACTGCACTCCAGCCTGGGTGACAAGAGCGAAACTCCATCTCAAAAATAAATAAAATCAAATAAAATAACATGTGGCTTATATATATTTCTATTGGACAGCACTAGTATATATACAACATAACATAATGGTTGAGAGCACTGACTCTGGAGCCAAATTACTGTGTTTGATTCTTAGCTTCATCACTTACTAGTTGTGTAACCATAGGCAAGTGAGTTAACCTCACTGTGCTCCAGTTTCCCATTCTGTAACATGAAAACAATAAAAATACTCCCAGAATTGTTGTGAGCATTAAATGAAGCCCTGACACATTTGTTCTGGATACTATATCCTCTTGTTTTATAAGTGGTAGTATCAATGTGCCTTTAGACACAATTACAAGGATTTCTGTAGTACAGATGCAATGTATATAGTGTCTGTAAATAGCATTCAATGATTCATGAGTTAGGGCTTGAGACTTTTACTGCCATGGAAAATCCAGGTATAACCAAGCTTTTGAGATTTTGGGAACCCCTTAACCTTATTTTTCTCTACCCTTGCCCCGAGCAATCAGCATACATACTCATGAAATTTAACAATTACTTCATTGGGCAGAAATTATATGTGAGCAGGTAGAAGTTTCAGTCCACAGGAAAAGTATAAATATGTTAACTATTTTAACTTAATCCCTTCCTAGAAACATATACACTGTTGCCAAGCCCATATTCTCCCTTTCTTGTTCTCACAGGTTCCCAATGCGCCGCCTGCTTATGAGAAACTCTCTGCAGAACAGTCACCACCACCTTATTCACCTTAAGAGCCAGCGAGACACCTAAGACGTGCTGAAATTATTTCCCTCACACTTTTGCTTGAATTTAATATAGACATCTAATGTTTTCCTTTGGAATGCTGTAGGAAAAATGCACATCATCTCTAATAATAAGTCAGTGTTAAATTTTTAGTAAGTCAGCTAGCAGTACTAATCAAGTGAGGAAATGATGAGAAACATTAAATTAGGAAACCTTCATCAATAAATATTGCAATGCATGATACTATCTGTGCCAGAGGTAATGTTAGTAAATCCACGGTGTTATTTTCTGAGAGATAGAATTCAAGTGGGTATTCTGGGGTCATCCAATTTCTCTTTACTTGAAATGTGGCTTATAACAAACTAGTCAGGTTTTTGAATCTTGACCAACATGAACTGTACACAGAATTGTTCCAGGTGAGTCTGTACTATTAAGTTCTCACAAAGGATATTTTTACAGGTTTAATACAAAGAGCTGATTGGCCCATTTATCTGATCAAGAACATGTCAGCAATGTCTCTTTCTGTTCTAAAATTCTATTATACTACAGTAATATATTGTAAAGATCCTATATCTTAGGTAAGGCATACAATGCAGTCTAATTACATTTCACTTCAAGACTCAATGCTACCCTAACTAATGACAAGGATTTTCTATTAAACCAGAGATTGGTAGAAGGATTTAAAGAAGTAAAAGCTAGTATAGTTTGGCTGATGCCTGCGTGTTGCCTTAAATGTACCTATGGCAACTTAGTTCTCTTGGGTTCCCAAATCCCTCACATAAGAACATGCAGAAGAAAACATAAAGGATCAGAGATTCTGGAATGGTATCATTATTTGCATAGCAACATGGCAATTTGTTTTCCTATGGCCACATCAACATATCACGGAGAATATTATTTATCTAATATTTCTCTTTCAGGCAGCTCATTTAAATTTTTTGGCTTTAATTTTTATTGCCACCTTACGTGGAAAACCAGTACCATTTTCCATAGTAGAGGATAACTATAAAAATGAAGATAATGAAAGTAATTTTCTTAGCCTAAGAAAATACTAATTTTCTTAGGCTAAGAAAATACTAATTTTCTTAGCCTAAGAAAATGTTAATTTCCTTTATGGTGAACAGGGGACCTTTTCAGGCTATCTTTGACATAATTGGAAGGCTTACAAGAGTTTTTTTTTTTTTTTTTTTTTTTTTTTTTTGAGACGGAGTTTCACTCTTGTTACTCAGGCTGGAGTGCAATGGCGCAATCTCGGCTCACTGCAACCTCCGCCTCCTGGGTTCAGGCAATTCTCCTGCCTCAGCCTCCTGAGTAGCTGGGATTACAGGTATGTGCCACCATGCCCAGCTGATTTTTTGTATTTTTAGTAGAGACGGGGTTTCACCATTTGACCAGGATGGTCTCGATCTCTTGACCTCGTGATCCACCCACCTTGGCCTCCCAAAGTACTGGGATTACAGGCGTGAGCCACCGCGCCCGGCCGCTTACAAGAGTTTTAAAGAAATTACTTTCTCACTATATGATTCATTGCTATTTAATGGTGAATCAGTAAACCACCTAAAATCATCTTGTGTCATCTGAAACACTAGTGTAACATAACTGCATCATTTTCTACCAAACACAAAATTTCACCAAAGGAGAAACAGAAAACACAGGATAAAGACACTTACTACACACATTGAAAAAAACATTTAACGAAATACTAAAATATTTCCCACTCTTCCTGATACTGTCAAGTCTTACCACTTACTATAAAGCTTCCATCTCTCCCACTTCAAACAAATAAATTATAAACAAAAAAACTTCATCAGGCATCTGGGTACCTCTTCGCCTCACCACGAGGTCTCTGCTGAACCTCAATCCTGTACACTGAGGAACCTATGGCTTGAGCCCTATACCTCTTAAAAACCCCCAGACTGTCACCCACTGAGGGTGCTCTTATTTCTCTGTGGAAAAGGCTCTTCTCACAGAGTTCCTCAGTTTCCCAGGTGATGGACACAGAGATTTGGCCTGAGTTTGCCAGAAAGAAATTAGAAAAATGAGACATTTTTGAAAGGAATAGAAGGTGCCAGATTCAGAAAGACGTACTCGCTCCTTCACAGAGGCAGCCACACCTCTGAAGATGACTCCTTGATTGGAGTCCAACTGCAGGGCAACCCTGGGAGCTACATGCTAAGGATGGAAGGTCACACGATATAAGGAGTATGGGTCATTACATCACCACTGAGCTCCTTACATATTCTGGTTATTAACCCCTTCTCAGATGGGTAGTTTGCAGATATTTTCTCCCACTCCATGGGTTGTCTCTTCACTTTGTTGATTGTTTCCTTTGCTGTGCAGTAGCTTCTTAACTTTATGTGATCCTATTTGTCCATTTTGGCTTTGGATGCCTGTGCTTTGTGGAGTATTACTCAAGAAATCTTTGCTCACTCCAATGTCCTAGAGAGTTTCTCCAATGTTTTCTTTTAGCAGTTTAATAATTCAAGGTCTTAGATTTAAGTCTTTAATCCATTTTTACTTGATTTTTGTATATGGCAACAGATAGGGGTCTTGTTTCATTCTTCCGCATATAGGTATCCAGTTTTTCCAGCACCATTTTTTGAAGAGACTGTTCATTTCCCAATGTATGTTCTTGGCACCTTTGTTGAAAATTAGTTCACTGTAATATGTGGATTTGTTTCTGAGTTCTCTATTTTGTTTCATTGGTCTATGTGTCTTTTTTTTTTTTTTAATGCCAGTACCACAATGTTTTGGTTACTATAATTCTGTAATATAATTTGAAGTCAGGTAATGTGATCTTTCCAGTTTTATTCTTTTTGCTTAGGATGGCTAGTTGTTTTTTTTTTTTTTTTTTTTTTTTAGAAAGCCTTTCTCTGTTTCCCAGGTGGAGTGCAGTGGCACATTCTCAGCTCACTGCAACCTCTGCCTCCCAGGTTCAAGCTATTCTTGTGCCTCAGCCCTCCAAGTAACTAAGATTACGGAAGTGCGCCCCCATGCCCAGCTCATTTTTGTATTTTTAGTAGACATGGGGTTTCACCATGTTGGTCAGACCAGTCTCAAACTCCTGACCTCAAGTGATCTGCCCACTTTGGCTTCCCAAAGTTCAGGGATTACAGGCATGAGCCACTATGTCCAGCCTCTAGGACTTCTGTGGGCTATTGTAGGTCTTTGGCTATTCTGAGTCTTTGTGATTCAATATATATTTTAGGATTTTTTTTTCTATTTCTATGAAGAATGTCATTGTTATTTTGATAGGGATTGCACTGAATCTGCAGATTGCTTTGGGTAGCATGGACATTTTACCAATATTGATTCTTTCAATCCATAAACATGGAATACCTTTTTTTGTGTGTGTGTTCTCTTTGATTTCTTTCTTGAGTGTTTAGTTTTCATTGTAGAGCTCTTTCACTTCTTTAGTTAATTCCTAGGTATTTTATTTGCAGCTATTGTAAATGGGATTACTTTCTTGATTTCTCAGATTGTTCCCTGTTGACATACATAAATGATTTTTTTGTTTTTGTTTTTTGAGATGGAGTCTTGCTCTGTCACCAGGCTGGAGTGCAGTGGCATGATCTCAGCTCACTGCAACCTCCGACTCCCTGGTTCAAGCTATTCTCCTGCCTCAGCCTCCCAAGTATCTGGGATTACAGGTGCATGCCACCACGCCCAGCTAATTTTGTATTTTTAGTAGAGACAGGGTTTCACCATGTTGGCCAGGATGGTCTTGATCTCCTGACCTCATGATCCTCCCACCTCAGCTTCCCAAAGAGCTGGGATTACAGGCGTGAGCCACCCACACCCAGCCGTATTAATTTTTAAATGTTGATTTTGTACCCTGTAACTTTACTGAATTTATCACTTTGAATAGTTTTTTGGTGGAGTCTTTAGGTCTTTCCAACTATAACATCATATCATCAGCAAATAAGAATAATTTTGACTTCTTTCTTCCTAATTTGGATGCCCTTTCTTTCTCTTGTCTGATTGCTTTAGCTAGGACTTCTACCACGTCACCACTGAAGGAGAATCTACCTCATCTAAGAACAATTGGATTAAGTGGGGGGAAAAAGTGGCCTTGAAGAAAATTCATGAAATATTAAGATATTGCCACTTTGTTTTGATACTGAAATCCAGGGCTGTTACTTTATATATTTGTTGAGACCCTTCAGTGTTGTCTAGCAGCTTGGGCTGACTAAACACAAATGAGGAGAGGAGCTTTCAGGAAAGGGAGACCCTGTGACCTTTGTAGTTAGATAGGATGAGGCTTCCCTGCTGCTGAAGGAAACCTGAACTCAGGAAAATGAGCCTCACCCATAAGCATGGGCACAGGAGTCCTATACTGCAGTGCGCCCTTCCTTTATGCCCTGACACACCTGTGGGCCTAGAATGGGTAATGGCATGGCATTACTTTGATCCCCTAAGCTTCCTGCAGTTAGGGACTACAGTGACAGGAGCTCATAACTGGTCTCCTCTCACTGCAATTAGCATTTTCCACTTGCCCAGATTCACTGTACAAATAATAGTACTTTTATTTGTGTGGTGAGCAAAGTTAGAGAGCACTGTTTTAACAAACCTGGGGATCCCCCTCCTGTGCAGCCCTCAGTGGTGGTGACTGATGCTTCAGACAAGGCTGAAGTCTCTATCCATTTCCCTGCAAGATTCTGATATAGTTTCTCTGGTTGTTTTTATAGTAAAGAGCAGGCATACTTTAAGGAGGGAAAAAGAGCTAGCCAAAAGATTTTCTACCCAGCTTAAAGTCAGTGAAAATTTAGACTGATTATACAAATCAATGAAGCCTTCAAGTTATCTCCGGTGCAGACAAGTCCTCTGAAGTTACAAATGTTAAGTTTAGCATTTAGTAAATATGTGGACAGGTTTACTTGTCACTTGCGAATATTGCAGACCTTCTCCAAAAAAGAACAGAAAGAAGTCTCTAAACTTTCTTTTCATGGTTGAACAGTCACTTGAAGATGCATCAAAATCCTACAATCTCAAGTAACCACTGCCAAAAACATCTTTAAAGTGTCTCAAAGAACTAGTCATAGATTGTTTGAATGAAAACACTCATTTTTAGGACAACCTAAAAGTGCTATCGCAAGAAGCAGTGAAATGGAAGAAAAAGTGTGAGAAATGGAGAAAAAAAAATGCTTGACAACTGAAAATTTATGCTGAAAACATAAAGAGGTTGTAAATGATAAACAGTGACCTTTAAAATCTCTCAAACCATATGGAAGGTGATACACTGCCTGTCTTTAGGGAAAATTACATGGGTGATGGCAACTTGAAATTTGACAAAGGCAAATCAGAAAATTGAGAACTTCTAGGCTATAGATCAAAAAACAATTTGAAGAAATACATTGATGCTGTTAAATGTTTCCTTAAAAAGGCTTGAAGGAGAAAAACAAAAACAATTTAAAAGAAAATCACATGAATCACTTACAGTTCAAAGAAGTGGTCTCCCACCTGAATAAGCATCTCTGTAGTCTAAAAGTGTAGTTTGTACGAAAACATCCGCTGTGTAACATCTGAAGCATGACGCCTATGGGAAGACGGCCTCGAGAGTCTTAGAAGCACTTTAAGGGACCAGGTTTGGTGGCTCACGCCTGTAATCCCACCACTCTGGGAGGCCGAGGCAGGCAGATCACCTGAGGTTGGGAGTTTGAGACTAGCCTGACCAACATGGAGAAACCCCACCTCTACTAAAATACAAAATTAA